TTGGTCAGTCATTTGTAGATCACCCGTGGGGTCCGCGCAGGGTGGTGCACAAGTATGCGGTTCATCCATATGATCCTGGTCAGCCATTTGCAAATCCCTCGTGGGGTCTACGCCATGCGGGATTAAATGCAGTCCAAGCAGATCATGTTCCAGTCCCTTATATATATATATAACTATGAACTAAAAGAGCGCACTTTGCAAAACAAAAGGCAAGGATTAGAAAAACAAAACAAACATGAGGGGCACTGAGGGGCACTGAAACCAATATTTTTTATCATTCTTCTTTCAAGTCCCCAGTATATGCCTCTAGCGTACAAGGCTCACCATGTTGATGAAGTTGAGCGTGAGCTGCCCGCATCTCCGTGTGCCATAACGACCCACTTGTGCTCTGTGAGAAAGAGGCAGAGTAAAGGGGAAGGTGATAAACACAGGGAAGAGAGATGAAGAGAAGACAAGCAAAGAACCAAAAGGGAAAGTAACGGAAAGTGCGGAGTGTGGAATGAAGATGAAGGCAAAGGAGAGGATAAGAAAAGCTAAAGAGTGAGTCTGTCCTTGACGACAGAGAGGACACACATTGTAAGGATGAGGTGGGTGAGCACATGGAAGACCTAGCTGAGCATTATCAGCACAACAATTGCCACGACAGCTGGCATTGAGCATGCCCACAATACACTCCCGACAAATTGCATGTCGATTGCAGGCCAAAATGAAGGAAGAACGCTCACCACAGAAGACCATGCATTCAGTATAGCGCCCATGGCCGCAAAATGGACATATAGTGTCCGGATGCGGACCATCTGATTGTAGTGATTATGACAGAGACGATGGCGGCTACAGCCGAGTGTAATGGTATCTGTAGCTATGCAAAGGAGAAGGTCACAGAGTGTTGGTAGATTGTCCTGCTGGAGCACGGGGCCAGAGGAATGATGATCTTTGACATAAACAAGATTGCGGACAGTTTGGTGAGGCAAGAAAACAGCATCATTATGTAAGAAATCAGTAACATCAGTCATGGCATGGACCATGATGCCGTTGTCCCACAGCTCCCAATGGTCAGAGGCATGTACGATGGCAATGTAATGGCCAGGTCCGTGCACAATCACAGATGTGGGATGGAGGATTAAACCACTCACCTGCTCGAGCATTGCGTAGTTCAAGTTGGCGGTCCCCCATTGCTACTTGTAGGACAGCAATGATAAAGCCTCTTTCCCTGGTATAAATACAATCCTCTGGCGGTACATGGGGGAGATCAGCATCAAGCTGAAGGGCGATAGCAAGGAAATCTGATGGTGTACAAAACGGGGGGTGGAGAATGTGAAGACAGATATTAGTTGCAGTCAGACCACAGAGATTGGTAAGGGTCTCAGGCTGGTGTGCCAGATGATGGCCAACGATTTGCAGATCACCCAGCTGGTGTTCGCAGCCCAAAATGTCTTGGGTTGTTCGCTGGTCAGTCATTTGCATATCACCCATGTGGTCTGCGCGTGGAGGGGCACAGATTTCTGGTTCGTCCAAATGATGCTGGTCAGCCATTTGCAGATCCCCCATGTGGCCTACGCCTTGTGGGGTTAACTCCAATCCGGGCAGATCATGTTCCAATCCCTCAACTTTTGGGGCCGCATCCTGAGCAGGGACTGTCCCGGGAATCGGGAGTGTACTCTGGGCAGGGACCACATCCTATTGTACAGGTAGAACATCTAACGCTGAAGGGCATAAGACATGGTGCCGTGGCTGCCTGCAGGCAGCTGGACTGTCTGTCAGAGGCATAGGAGTGGATATTGCCGTTTGGAACAAAGGAACCGCAACAGCCTGTGGAGCAGGCACAGAGAGAATTGGGTCAGACAAAGAAACAGGCTGCTGATCCCCGGACAAGTGACGATGCCGCAGATGTCGTCGATGATACACAATGAGGGAAGTAGTGGTGTTGCAAACAGAAGCATGTCCCTCACAACGAAGGCAGAACAATGGGAACAATGGAAACTGGAGAGTCTGTTCGCAAGCGAAATCGTGGAGGAGATGGGGGTGGCGAGGAGGAACGCAGTCGTCTGCGGCCAAGCACAGGAAGAGATGAAAGGGGGCGGATTGGGCATTATTTCGAAATGAGTGTCGGAGAGCCTGTGATGTTCTTTGCACTGGAGCTGCAGTAGAGAAAGCTGTAGCAGCAAAAAGTATAGTACAGGGGACTGCAGCAGATGAAGCTGTAGTGAGAACTGCAGTAGTGGAAACTGTAGTAGCAGAAGCTGCCAAAGTGAAAGCCGGAACTGTAGAAAGTGTAGCGGTGGAAACTGCAGCATCAGAAGTTACTGTGAAAACCGAAGCTGTAGAAACTGCAGCAGTGGAAACTGGAGCAGTTGAAAGCTGCAGGAGCCGAAACTGCAGCAGAGGAAACCACAGCAGTGGAAACTGGAGCAGTAGGAGCCGAAACTGCAGCAGAGGAAACCTCAGCAGTGGAAACTGGAGCAGTAGAAGCTGCAGGAGCCGAAACTGCAGCAGTAGCAACAGATGAGCAAGCAGGAGCAAGACGAGAGCGATGCGGGGGCAAAGAAGAAAGTGGATGATACAAGGACCATCACAATGAGTTGGAACCACTGAGAAAGAAGTCACAAGCGTAGGATAGCGACGCTGGCGAGAGCGCATGTAGCAGGTCCCCCCTTTAGCAAGGGTTGGTGGGGAATGCCCGCGAAAAAGGATGCGCGAGTAAGTGTTGTTGTCACAGTTCGAAAATCCTGCCAATTGTTGCAGATTTGTTCAAATCCGGTCAATTGTCCAGTGAATACACCCGCTGGTTGATGGGAATGGATGTTGGAGGTCGCACTTGGATAACACATGATAGGGAAATCCCAAGCAGCCGCTTTATCAAACACGCTCATGCGAAGCGAGCCATCAGAACGGACCCGTAGATGCATACCTAAAAAGGTACATGAGCCATCTGTCGTTGTAGTTTCCTTCCACTCAAGCCCATAGTGCTCCGGAGGAGGAAGTAACTGCCCCCATGAAAGAACATCATCAATGAGGCGATAAGTGAAGGAATATCGCTGAGCGGCTTGAAGATCGTGTTGACGAATGTCATCAACAAAGCATGCTTCATCCCAATACAGTGTCAGATTAGACATTTCTGGGCCAGCATTTGTTCCCATTGGAATAATTTGCTTAAGAAGTGTGCCATCTCTAGTGTACAGAAAAGTGTTTTGTACAACAAAGCGAAGATGTTGGAAAATCTGAGAAACGGAAAGGGTGTTCGGGCCTGAATCGGTTGTCCATTGGCCATAACGAGGTCCTTGAATAATCGTGTTCAGGGCACTGCAGTGCGAATGCATGCGAGTTTGCCGAAGGGAATAAGCATGTGCTTCATCAACAGCTTTTGCCACATTATTCAGAATGTGGTCATGAGGGAGGTTGGTGTACATTGCGATAAAATCAACAGTGCAAGGAGAGAGGCCACAAAGAGACTATGAATTGTTTTCAGGTCTATCGCCACTATATCAGCACTCTGAACGATCCAGCACCGTCGGACACCAACCCATTGATAGAGCTCAGTAACTTTCTCAAAAAGAGTAGAGATCACTCCTTGCAAAGCAGCATTGAGATACGATGAAGTAGTCATTGTGCTAGCCAATGGTTTGTGAGGAGGCCATTCATGAATAGCGCGAATTGTTGGACGAGGGTGAGCGCGCGGGGGAACAACATTGTTATGTGTTGTGACTCCAAGAATGCTACGAAGAGCTGGAGGAGATTTGTGAGCTTTCAGCACGTAGTAAAGGTAAGGTAGGGTATCAGTATGCGTGTAGCCCCAATGGTGATTCCATTTTGCATGGCGGTCAAGGACATCAGCAACGGATTCATCAAGGCAAGTATAAGTGGGACTGTCGAAATGGGTGGAAAGACGAAACAAATACCAATTCTTGCAGTAAATTGCCAAATTGTGCGATGTTTTGTCTACAGGGACAATGGCAAAGTTTTGTTGAAGACGTCGCAAGGAGGCATGTATAGAACGAAGTGAACGTGCCTGGCTCGCGTGATTGGAGAACGAGGCTGCATTGGATTGACAGTGTGCAAGGATTGCAGAACACCAGTTGTTCCAGTTGTTCAACTTCTGAGAAAGAGACGAGAAAGAAGTAAATTGAGAATGCCCGGCCAACAACCTTTTGTAATTGGCAATGTACTCATCAAGTCCAATTGCCAATGCCTGGAGCGCATCGACAGTTTCCCCATCCAGGCGATACTTTGACCCTTCTTGAAAAAGCTTGCGGAGGCTTTCATCGAAGATAATATTGTAGTCAACATACACAACATGGCCATTGACAAGATCAGAACAATGAGGAAAGGCTCTGTGGTATTCGCAATTTGAGGAGTCGGGTAAGGTCATGCCAGGAGTAACACTCAAGGCCACGTTAGTGAAGTTACAAAATTGGACACCTGCGGGTGGCATCAGTTTGTCACATACACGAACATGTGTGGCTCTTGAGGGTCAGGGTGCACTGCAACTACTTCTGGCAATTGTAACACATGGTGCAAGTTCAGAGCACAAACTACTTCATGCACATGTACGACCTTGATGTGGTCAGTAAACCGGTCACGAGGTTGTGCTGTGTAACGTTGGTGAGTATGCTGGGATTTCCGGATCAGGCATTTGAGTTCTCGAATGTCTGCTATTATGTCCACATTGGAGACATTGTTGTACAGCCATTGCAAAAGCTGCACCCGCCATGCTGGTGTTGCTTGCTCAATATCAGTCTTGACACGACATCAGTTACCCGAAGCAACTTCAGTGAGAAGGTGATGCAGTGAGGTACGAATTAAAAGTCCGGGACCCGGACGAAGATCAACAGCAAATGACCTAATCAAAGGTGTTGGCAAGAGAGGTAAACACTGAGGGGATGTCGGTAAAAGGGGTGGAGCATGAGAGCCAGCGGGTATTGGTAAGAGGGGTGCTGTGTGAGAGGGATCAGCTGATACAGGAACGGATGGAGCAGCAATAGATGTTGCAGGGAGGGAAACGGGAGGAGTTGAGGCATGAGAGGGTTGAGGTCCTATTCCGCAGCATAGAAGATCATTAAACCCCTGGAGAAGGTTTTGTCAGTTTTGTCTGCATTCATAAAAGCTCCAAAGCAAGTCGATGAAGAAAGCAGAATGGCATACTCGTCCAATCCTGGAGCAGACTCACACTCCCACTTTCCTCGATGCAGTAGACGGGAATTGTGGCCTAGATTCAATCACGAAGTCACTGCGTAGAGATCCCGCGAGTAATAAAGTGATCCTTAAACACACACCTAACAACTATGGTCAGGTTCATATGACTGTTCACATCTCGGTAAGAAAGAGGAAAGTCCTGTATCATTCCCTCTAGGAATTCCTTGTTTAATGATCGGCTTCACAACTTGTTACCCTCCATCTTCTTCCTCGTGCGGGTCCCGCATCTCTTAGTACCTTCTCTGTGCCTCGCAACTGAACAGCCTTCTCCTTTCCTGGTACACCATTTCCCATCCTCGCCTATTCTCTGCTTTCTCTCTTTTTTTCCCCCTTTCCTCCCCTCTTATTTTGGAAGAGAGCAAGGAACATAACCTAACTAAAAGAAGATGACAACACTGGGATGACAATGTGCACAATGCCCACAGGAGCCCCTGAAAGGGCCGAAACAACACCTTACAGCTACAACTCTAGCCACCATCCTTGTGTTTCAGTATTATATGGTTGAAAGAAGGACACTGCCAACCAAGATGCCCTCAGAGAGCTAAAGAGGCAAACCAAGAAGAAGATGACAACACTCGTATTCATATGCGAACCGATGATGCCCAAAAGTGCCTCAGAAATAATAAGATCGGGCAAGAGAAGAACCAGGGTTATGCGTCAGTGAAGTAAGGTAAGACAGTGAGGAAAAGTTGATAAGTTGGGTGCTTTGCAGCACAGGAAAGGACACAAAGGGATAGGCCTTGCCAAACCAAGAACAAGACAAGAACACTGGTATGACTATGCGAACAGATAATGCTCACAAGAGCCCCAGACACAATTAGATCAGGCAAGAACGGAACCATGGTTAGGGGTCAGTGAAGCGAAGCAAACCGACAAGGAAACAGGTGATGGGCTGGCTGTTCTGCAGCACAGGAACGTGCAGACAGGACAGGTCTTGAGTGTCACTCACCTTCCGTATCATGGGCTTATTAGTTGGGACAACTGTCACTGGGAGGCGATAGATACTGTTGAATTCAACAAACTCCGTGGCTGCCGTTCCAGTCATCCCACATAATTTTGGATACTGCCATGTCACACATTAAACAAAACAGTCAGCACCAAGGAACAAACTGAGGGGAGAGCCACGGGAACATAGTATCAACAACAACAACAACATTTTACAAGGCAAATGTTCCCACCAACTCCCCTTGACAAGATAATTCCGTGACAAAATTCTGCACCACTGTAATTGTAGTGGGTATCTGTTCACTATGACGTGACATGTACAGAATGTGTTGCTTCCACCAACAAAATGCCCCATCAGCACGTCTTGCCTGCACTTCTCATTTATCGGTGGTACCTACCAAAAGCCTGATGCCACAGAAACAAAATGCATAGATAACATCATAGCACAATGTTTAGAAAAGAAAGGACTCCACTGTACAACCTGACGATGGAGAAGGATATGAACTTATGAAGCCGTTGGTACCTACCATGTTTAAAAAAGAAAAAGGAGTCCACTGTCCAACGTGACGATTGAGAAGGATATGAAGGTCGTTGTGAGAACAGACAACTGAGGTACAGCCAAAGGCAGTTTGCGCATGACACGAAGCACATCAGGCTGCTCATTCCTACAGAAACACACTCACTCTTCCCCTTGTTATGATAAAGGGACCCTCAGACAGCATTGATTACCCCCCTGGGGATGACTGACTACCCACTTGCCCAATACCCCTCCGCCTAAAAGGACCAGTACATGCCAGCCAGCAGCCATGGGCCCCTTTCGGAGGCCACACGCCGTCGATGTATTTTATCAACAGCACGCGAGCCTCCAAAACTTTAGGACAGGCTTAGTCGGATTTTCAACTTGGCTGGGGCCATCTACTGGTGGTTTAAACCCGCAGTACCTCCGAACCTCCGTTTACTTTTCCACTCTTCTTCGTCCAATGTTTTCTCACAGGCGGATTTGTGCTGCGTTCCAAAAAAAATGAACCATCACAGGCTAGGAAGATTTTCATGCCCGCCCGGCTGGGCACCCAGGTACCCTGGGCGTGCAAAAAAATATATATATATATGTATCGTCAAATATATTTTGCCTTTCTGCGCTCTCCCAGAGGACCCCAAATCCAGGCTCTTTTCATTCTTTGAGAGTTGGCTATCAAGGGGGGAAAAGGGGGGTATAAATTTGTTTTAAAGGGGCTACGGGGGTTTAAAGGGGGGTCCTTTAGTGTGATTTTGTTATTTTCTTTTTTATCTCCAATTCGGTGAGGAATTCTGAAGTGACCCTCAGCCAAATGTTGTTTGTATTGCAATTCGACACAACAATTTTTTTTCCCTGGAATTTTGTGACTTTCGTCTTTTTTTTCTTTTTCTTTTTTTTTTTGGCGCTGGGGCTTCCCGGAACCCTGCCCGGGGGTCATGCCCGGCCGGGCACCCGGGCGTGTATCCGGGCACAAGTTGGGTGCCCGGGCGCCCGGAAAAACAGCCTAGATCACAGCGCGTTTTTTTTCTTTTTTGACTGGCGCATAACACAAAGAGATCCAGTTGTGCGTGAACCCCTGAAAATTGCAGTTGCACACACACGTTGAAAGGAAATGGCTGGTGGCAACAAAAAGGAAACAAAAATCCCAAGACACCTACCTGTAAAAAGAAGTTCTGATAACTGATAGAGGCAAGTGTCACCGTCTCATTCTGAATTGGGAGCCCCTCTTTAGCCTCCACCGCCTGGTGAAGACCATCGCTCCATCTTCGTCCCTGAGGAGCACAAGTTGCCAAGACAAAACCATCAACCCACAGAACAATAATGAATACAGAGTGCTAAGAAGTAAGACAATACCACATGCTGACACTCCCTTCCTCCCGCTGCTACTCAGAATGATGATGCATAAGACAATACCACATGCTGACACTCCCTTCCTCCCGCTGCTACTCAGAATGATGATGCATATACCAGGGCTGCATACCCGGTCCCCCCGGGGCCTCCTCCCCCCACCGGAACCGGGCCGGTCCTACCGGCCAGTAGACTGCACCAGTTCCCCCTCGTCGCCGTTTGCGCATTTCGATGGGGGGGGGGGGGGGGTTCAAATTTTTTAGGGCCGGGGCCTTCATGCAGGTCGTGGAGGCCTCCCGGCCCCAAAAAACATTGAACCAGATCCCGTAGGACCGCACGATTGTTCAAAAACCACCGGCCTATCTGGACCGTCTATCTTGTGAGATCAGCGGCCCAGATAGGCCGCCGGTTTTTGAACGTTCGGAAGGGAAACCGCCCGAACATCGGCCTACCCTCAACCCCCCCTCCAGCCTCCCCCCACTTCGACACTTCGTCGAACGTGAACGAAGTCGAGACTTAGTCGGCCCCCCCGTTCGCTCCCGCCTCCGTGGAGTTGCCATCGCCCCGCCCCGCCGTCGAGCTTCCCCTCTAACGGTAAGCTACTTCCTCTGCTTCCTCTAGTTCTTCTTCTTAGTCTCTTCTTCTTCTTCTTCTTCTTCTGGTAGAGCCAAACTCAACTTTGCGTAGTATTTTGATTAGGAGCACGCACAGAAGTTGGTGGGACGCACGGAATTATGCGCTGCGTTAAGAGAGAGAGAGAGAGAGAGAGAGAGAGAGAGAG